AATCTTTCAGTGTAGTTGATTTCACACCAGCAAAAGGATATATTTAAAAGTGAGCCATAATAGGTTCTTATCTTTACAAGAAAAAGAAGAATGGCTGTTGATTACTAATGCCAGAAATCAGATCTGGCTTCGGTTCAACAATTTAACTCAGTGTTACTCTCTGACCTTGCAAAAGATGCTTACTGATGAAAGCTTCTCACCTATCCAAAAGCAATTACAGATCCTAGGTTAAATTTAAATACATTTGTATCAAACTCAGTTAAATTCTTAGAGAAATGCTATACTTGGAGAACTGATGTTCTATAATTTATAAAAATGTATATTCAGTTTTTATTAGTATTGAAAGTAAAGATGATCTTCACATCAACCTCCTGAAAACATCCTTTGAAAAAGCTAAAAAGAAGTTATTAAATGTTTAATTAAATAAAGCATTACTGCATAGCCGTAAGGAATTAGATTACTCAACATGAATCAAAGATATCTCTGTCTTTTCAATAGTGAGTTAGCTGTATTTCAAAAATCTATTACTCTTCAACAGAATCTTTAAGAAAATTATTAAAGAAAACAAACTGCCAGCGTAACAAAAATTAGCATTTTGCCAGCTGCTCACTGTTTATTTTCAGTCTTTTAGGAAAACAGAAGCTGATTCAAACCACCCATTTTGTCAGATGGTACACTGTCATCACTGGTTTCTGGATCTAACAGGCAGATACACTCCAGTAGAAAAAATGCTTGCCTGAGTACTATTAGCAAACAAACAGAATCCTCCTCGACACGTAAGCTACTTTTCCTGATAAAACACAGCCACTCATTTATTTGATTTTCAGACAGACACAAAAGGTGATAGAAATTACGAGGATTAACAACAAAATAAAAATTATGATTTGGATTTGTAAAGATTAATAAATTTCCTATGAATTAGCCTACTGAAGATTTTTATTTCAAAGGAGACATACTATATCTTAGGGGTACCTCCCCATCTAGTTTTCAGCAAGACCATCCTTGTTTGTCATATCTGTTGACCTATGCATCTGAAAAGATGAGTTTGCCTTACTGCACGTCAACTTGAACATCATCAATAATGAGGGCATATTCCCATGTGGTATAATTCATCTGTTTTCAGAGAATTTGTTTTTCGGGTGAAAAGAGTAAAAAATCCTGACTGTTCTGCAGCACAAGTAACTTTTGTAGAGATTTGTGATGATTATAATAAAGTTATCTGTTGGTAACACCACAAATATGAACAGATGGTTTCTGAGAGTCTACTACATTGAGGGAAAGAAAAATGTAGCTGACCTAACAGTTACCCATCTTTCAATTTTCTCATATGGACCCATGGGTATCTTTATCACACGCACTGGTCAAAACTCAGACATACACTCAACACACTATCAACTCTTCCTCCAGGCAAGGATTTCATTTGGAATAACACAGACATTGCCTTCTAGACTTCAAGTTTCACAATATGTCAAATCTAACTTGTTCGTTTGCACTGCATCTACATCAGATGCCCACTAGTAGGATTAATGGTGAATCCACAACATTTCTATCTCTTGGAAATACATAAACAAATCTCTGTAATACCTGTTGAAGCAGTGATACTGAAATTTAGATCTATGTAACCCGTGACTAGAACTATCTTTACTGCTCCACGGAATTGCTTCAGGTATGATTAATGCAGGATCCTCACAAACACCATCACTTCATTCAAACTTCGGAAGAAGCAGATGCTTTCTTTTTTTAGATTTTAACACCATTTTTATGCTATGCTGCTTATAATCTTTTACACATTTTATTTTCTTACTCCAAACTGCATGCAGTGATGGCAAAAACAAAGTTCCTTCGCATCTATTCAGGTTTAGAAAATTAAAATTGTTTTCCAGTAAAAAAGAAGAATTCCATACTAAGAAGTAGGTCTTTATTTCATGTACTCACATTAAGCAGCACCTCACTCCTAAGGGTTCACTGCTTTCATTTAAATTATTCTGCAGGATGCAAATCAGGATACTGCAGGAACGTTCAGTGACTGTTTAAAGTCTGTCCTACACAGAGGAGCATGCAAATTGATTCAGATTCAACAAACAGAAGAGACACTGTTCTGAACTAGGAGCGTAGTAATAATCTTTCATTTCTAAATAGTGAAGTGGTAAGTTTAACACCCTATAATCAAATTATTTGAAGATTAAAACAGATTAAAAAGGATTTTCACTGTAGCTTCTTGTCTGTACAATTTAACAACGCTATTGTTCCTCAGTTACAAATTTTATTTTTGTTCTTTAGAGTTCATTCAACGAGGCATTCAATGTTAGTTTTTAATGAAAGAACTTGCTCTTTCAAAAGCGTGTAAAAGAAAAATAGATGTGGTCACTCATCTAGAATGACACCAAGAGCAAAGCAAAATCAACCAAACAAAAGATAAAAAAAAAACAACAAGCAAACAATTAAAAGAGAAGCCTAACAACAGCAGCAATAAAAAATGGAAAAGAAAAAAAAGCAAAAACTAAGTCTGTGGGACATCTCATCATGCTATACAGTCACAGGATTAAATAATCCCAGGTTATTTAAATAGCCTGTGACAAAAGGACAGTTAACTATCTGAGAAATGCCAATCATCCTTAGCTAGAATGAACCTACTGATTCAAGATCTAGTCTTAATCTCAGAATAAATGAGGGTAAAGGGCTCAAAATTCACTAGCCTAACAATGACACTGTCAAGTGAAAATAAACTCCTCACCACCACATTAATATCCATTAGTTAGTGAGTTATAGATTCAATATGCTAATATAGTAGGGAGACTGTAATCAGTGAAGCAAAACACACTGTTTTCAACAGTGACAGTGACAACCTTGTAGCAGGCCAATGAAAAACACTTTATCTGTGCTATGTCTGGAATTGTCTCAAACACTTAGAAGATAAGATCATCACCATGACAACAGGTGAAAGGCTAAAGACACAGTCACAGTCAGAGAAGTGGGGCCCTGTGGAGATGGGACAGCCTTGCTCTGTCCAAAGCTCCTCTGTTGATTAACTTGTTGATGAACAAACTTGTTTATGACAAGCTTGTTGAAATCTAGCAGGCATAAAAGAATGCCTGAGAGAAGCTCAGGGTGGCTTCAAGACTTCAATACATTGAAACTTCAGGACGGGTGCTCTCACAGACCAAGGTAGGCTAAACCCTGTAGGCTAAACCAATGCTGGAATCCAGATCAGTGATCTCTTTCTCTGTCCATTTCTCTTTCTGTCTCTGTCTCTTGCCAACTCTTTACTTTCTTTTCTTTCTTTTTCCATCAAAAAATTGTTAAGTAATGCAAGACTTACTTTGATTTCTTATAAAGTTGCATAGTTTATCTGCACAGCTTAGACAGATACAATTGTAAGAATACCGATACTTTTAAGATAATTGTAGTACAGAGATTCTCATTAAAACTGATGATTGTGTTTGCAACTCGAGTGTCAGTTTCACCTTAGTCTAACCAGAGGGAATTTGAGAATCTGGTCACCCCTCCTCCTCACCCCTCCCTCTCTTGACAGACAGGATGTGACAAACCTAAAGAGGAAAAAGCTGTAAGAGAGTCTTGCTGTGAAATGGGAAAAAAATAAATATGCATTTCATGAAGACATTCAAACACAAAGTTCAGCAGAAGTAATAGACGTTACAGCATAATAATTAAAGTCATATTTTTGAGTGATAAAATCTTGCAATAAATAAAGCCAGAATGGTGCTGGTGGAGAAACAGTGCTGCAGTGTGTCTTGCTAATTGAACAGCTATAGCTATAGTCAGAGTTCGAACTCATAATTTCTTTCTGCCTGGGCTGCTAAATGTCATGTCTGTAGAAAAACATTAAAAGGAGCATCTCTATTCCATATACAGCACATAGACCAGTATTAACAAACTGTACAACATGAAATGGTCAAAAGACATGCAAATAAACCTAAGCTACCAATTTATTTTTGGATTTTCATTCCTATCTTTTTTTTATACTTGTATTTAGAGATACAAAGATGTGGCAACAGCAGTAATAAATAACATAGACATAACATAGGTATTACACTGCTTTGCCTCACAGGATTTAACGTGAAATCCTATGATAATTCCACTTAAATAAGCAAAGTAAATAATCAGAATAGTTTCCAACAAATATAAAAGATATTTCTCTGCAGCATGTCTACAGAAATGAATAGTAACTGTTTCTTTCTTTTTTTTTTCTGCTGTCTTGTAAATAAAATAAAAACATAGCATTACAATAGTTCAAAAAAACTACAATATTGTCCTGTATAACGTTTCACAGATCTTTCAAAAAATTGTCTACAAAGGTCAATTTATTATCCACAAAATTCAATGACGTGCTAAGTAAGAAATCCTGCATCTTTACATTACATCACATAAAATAGTAATACATAAATTTCACTATTACAGTGTTCCAGCTGAAGTCCATTTCTATTAATGTAATATGCTAGTTTAGCTGGTGGCCCTCAAATTATTGACGGGCAACATGCATTAAGTTTGATATTATGCTATCCTATGAGGCAAATCAAGCAATAGAAGATAACAAGTAATTGCTACACTTTCATGCAGTAAAGCTCTACCAGAACAGTTAACCATCAACTGTCTAATAAACTCCACAGACAATAATCAGATACTGAAGTACATCTGCATTTGCAGCAAAAGTCAATGCTTTTGTCATTCCCATATGTTTTCTTCGCTGTATTATGTGGCTCCAAGATTTAAGATGTGGAGAAACAATACTGTAGTTTTGCATATAACATATTTGTTCCTACTGATGCTTCCTAGATGAGTATTATTAAAATTTACTCTCAGGAGATGATATATTAGAATATGTTTAGTGTTTGATATATTAAACTATACTTAGTGTTAACAATGTAATATGAAATATCAAAGAGAGTAAATGCACACATATGCACACACATGTACACACACAGTGAGTATTTTTACTTTTTGTAAAGTATATCTTAAAAGAGGAAGTAAGAACTACTTACACCAGAATAGAAAGGCTCACCAGACACACAGATCACATCCTGCTCCTGGATCATCAATATATCTTTGGCTAAGTGCAGTCGCACTTTGAAAGGCTCCTGGTTACCATCCTGCAGCAAACAAATCCCTGTCTTTGTCTTGAAAGGAATAAAGAAAAAAGTTTTCTCAGCATGCTGCATTGCCAGAGTCTATACTTTGAAAAAGACAGATGATAAGTCTTAGTTGAGAGGTTGATACAGTTTGTGTTCATACATCAACAAGTATCCAAAACTATTACCAGTTACTGCTATGCATTTACTGTGCTTAGACTGAAAGAGAACAAATGGCTGTGATTGCAATGAGCGGGGGTACATTTTTCAATTACAAAGCCTAACTCTGTCCATGATGAATTTATAACACATCTTTGGTTAGCTTTGAGGCAGCTTTGGTTATACTCTCCATCTCTGGATTAAATGGTGACAGCTCACTTGGAAACCAAATAAAAACTGCTGTTTCTGCATGCTGCACCTATTTTGACACAAAAAGACATACAACTGTATAACATCTCCAAACTAGCCACTAAGCACTAACAGCCTATGTGAACCTGTTCTGGGCTTTTCCCGAAGCGCAAGCACAACACAGACTTACAGTACTTTTCAAGGACAATGCTGAAGTTAAGATACAACAGGATCAAAGAACGTAACTCTCTCTAGTAACTTAATTCCCATTTCACTTCTGTATAATGTATTTATAGCTACAGGTCAGGAATTCCATAGGATTCTTCTGTATAAAGTATATGGCTTTTGAGCAACTTAACAGAATCCTTGTTGTCAGGACATATTGGTGCAACTTTTGGGGTTCTATCTATAAGAGATAAGAGCAGTGAAAAAATCTGTATGTGGAAGCACACACAGTATTAGCAATATTCCCTTGAAGGCTGTTTTGAAAATAGCATAAATAGACAAGTTGCTAGGACATTTTTGTATGAGAAATTTATTTATATATTATGTAAAAATTAACAATTTAACACAGAATTTGCCTTTATCTTATAACTACAACTACTTGCATAGACACAAGTATGTATGTAATCATGTATATATCTCAGAAAATAATTTTTAGTTGAAAATGGTTTTAAATTTTAGGCTCATCAATGCCAGTAACAGAACTTATGTTTTCTTCATTCCGGTCAGATTTTAATCCACTGTCTGTAGAAAGTTGACTTGAGAGAAGATCAAGGACACAAAAGTCCTGCTGTGAACTTTCTCTGCCAAGGTTGACCTGGCTGAATCTAAGGGCTGTTTCTCAGACAAGAGTTTAAAAGAGTATTTCAAAGATCTCCCCATAGTAAGCTCTGATACCTTAGATCTATAGCATGAAGAGAACAAATAGAAATACAGAACCGACAGTAGGCAACTGTAAGAAGGAAAGCTTAAATTATTCCTATAAGGCACTAAAAGAGGTAGGAAGGTCAAGAACACTCTTTAAATAGCTTTATATAATCTCCACTGATGAACTGCTTTTTTACTTTAGCTCCATGCTCAATACTCAAACTTAAAAAAATGTTTTCTCTGGGAGAAACAGGTGCAAAACTGTATAATTTATAGGTAGCAAAACTGTATAATTTACTCAAATCTTTGAAATATTTTATTCAAGTAACAAAAACAAAAGGGTTTTGAACACTAAACTCACACTAAAGGTAGTGGGTGCTCTGACTTGTTTTAGTATTTACGTGTCATTTTTGTAATAAGATGGGATAGAAATGGCTTGACATAGACAGACAAATTAAATACATGGATCAGCAAAAGAAGTTAAGTTTTCACTACCAATGAAAAACTCCCTCATAGCACACAAAATATTAGAAAATTAAAATAAAGAGATGGTAATATAGTTAAATTGTACTATTCCTTCTCTTCATAACTTTGCTTTATAGACTCAAAGGGATCTTCTTTGTATGGAGTTGTGAAGTAAGCAGTAAACAACTATGGTCAAACAAAAGAGATAAGCCCACAAACACACACCATTTATAAAACACCTTTCTCCCATAGTAAATGTTAGCAAACATGCCCTCCCTCATCCCCTGGATAAATGGTAATGGGATAAATTTTGACTTTAATATACTGTTTTTAGTAGCACTGCCTTACTTGACTGCACATTTCTGATTTGGTCAATTACCCTATAAAGTCTCCAAAGAATCTTTCCGCACAAAGCTAAGGGGCTTCTCTATGGGAATTAAGAGGCACATAACCATAGCAGGCACAATTAGGCATTAGAAAAAAATTTAAAATTCAAGTCAGTTTCCAAATGCGTGTGGGCTGAGTTTATTCAGTCTGAACAAAAGAAACCAAGCTTGGGAACAGCAAAACATTTTGGCTCTTGGAAAGATTGATTTGCACATTCAGGCATCTTATTTACATCAGACGCTCTAAAATGCAATGAACCACTTTACTGTTGTTGGGCTTTATGAAAGTTGGTTTATGATACAGTTCAAAATTAAAGCTTAAATTATGCTACCTCCTTCCCTATGTTACCTGAGAGCAGCATTAACAACTATATAAAGGATAGGATCCTAGGAGATGATGCTAAAAATCCAATTCAGTTTCATTAGAATAAGCTCAAGACAATTCCGTAAGAACAAAGACCTACATTTATTTTTTTCACTGTTTTACTTATATCTCCTGAGATTTCTTTTTTCTTCTTTTTTTTTTCCTCCCCCTCTCCTCAAAGCATCCACTAAACTGAATCAAATAAGAAGGCAAATTCCTGCATCTTTATGCTGAGCTGGAAGTTAGGGAAGTTTTTCTGCACATATGTTTTCATGCAAAATCACAGTGCACATCAGCACCTTTTATCCATACAGCACGTAGAAAAATTAACCTGGCTGGATGATCAGGTGGGCTGTCTTGTCTATACCCCCACCATCTCTAACATGTGAAGAGCTTAGCCTGTGGATGAGGTGTGGGGGTGTGAGGTTGTGGCTGATGTTAGCTTCTGTTCCGCTGACTAACTTCTATGAGATTCCACAAGAGGGTGTGCCAAAAATTTTCCCTTCAAGGCTTTTATATTTCACTGCCAGAGGGCCCTGCCCTGCCCTGACTTACAGCAATAAAATAGCATATGTCATGTCAGCTGAGCTACTGTAACTGTCAGTGTGAGGTCAGGCAAAGCACCCTCTCCTGCTCAAATGTATGATAAACTGCACTGCACTGAAACAGACATGGGCAAAGGAGTGTAGTTCAGCTGCTAACATTTTGTTATGCCACTACACCTTGACTGCTCATATGAGTGAGCCCAAACTGCCGTGCTTATATTTCTTCCTACTTTCTTCATCCTATTTGTAGAATTAGGCACCTGTTATAAAGAGAGCAAGAAAACTGAGTGTTACAAGCTGCATGTGTTTATGAAGTCTACAAGGCAGGGTAAGGAATGGATAGGGAAGTAATAAACAGTGATGAAAGAATGAGGCTTTGTATGAGAGAGCAGTTAGTGACTTCAAGCAAAAGCAGTGAAGAAGATAAAGATCTTCCTTCCTAAGTGACAGATGCAGTAAATTTTGCACCTCCACTGTACTGTCTCTGCATTGGACGCTACATCCTTTTTAGCTCAATTACAAAGGATCATGTTTTGGGAAGAAATGATGCCATTGGTATGAGTTTAGAAACTGCCTGCTCTTTCTGAACTAACATAATTTTGAGAGGAGCTGAAAACTGATCCATCCTTGCTTTGCAATACTACTGTGTGTTGAACTATCTGCTTCAGAACACTACTGGAGAATGGCATAAGTTAGCAGAGCCCTCAAAGCAGGATACTTCTACAAAGAATATGACCACACTCAGATCATTAACAGTAACAAGGCAGTGAAAAAGGTGTTTCAAAAATCTTTTTCTATTATACTCTGATTTATTCCACATGGCCATATTAGTTGTGCATAAAATCAGGTCCTGATAACTTTCCTAAAAAGAATTTATAAATTCTTAGAGATTATAACATTTTTGCTGTAATATATATGGCCTTCAGAAATATTTAGGAATTAATTTCAGAAGAAATATATACAAAAGAGAGCTTCAGTTTGGCCTGGAGAAGAGGATGCCAGGACAAGAAGCAGTGGGCACAAACTGAAACACAAGATGCACCAGGAGCACTTCTGTGCTGTGCAGGTGACGGAGCACTGGCACAAGCTTCCCAGAGGCTGTGTGTGAGCTCTGCTCCTCAAAGACCTTCTTGCAGCTGCCTGGACGTGGGCCTGGGCCCCTGCTCTGGTGTCCCTGATGGAGTGGGGGTTGGACCCAATGGACTCAGAGGGCACTGCCAACCTCAGCCATTCTGTGATTCTGCTAAAACTATAATTTGTAAGTTGAGGCTAGCAGAATAGTCTCTACTAAATGTATACCAAAATAAATAATGTTACACACTGGTTTCAGATTCATTTTCCTGCAGGACATCAAACATCAGTATCTTTTAATTTACCTGGCCTAAATAACGCTACTGACAGATTTACTGTCAAATAATTTTTATTTTACTTTTTTTTTTTTTTTAAAAAAAGAATTTTTAATTTTTTGTCTATAGTCTAAAGCTTTTCCAGGGTTTTGTTCCAGAGGAAATTTAAACAGTATTCCAAGCCATCTTGGTTAATCTTCATTAGTTTTCAAGAAACTAATATATCTTTTAGGCTACTTTATCTATTACTTTTGCCCTTTGGTAATAAAGCAATTTAGTTGACTTTAATTCCTCCAGTTTCAGATACTTTTTAAAAGATCTTGGCACTTCAGCAGATACCCAAGAATTCAGTCTGTGATCCAGTGGAAGAAAGAAAGAGAAAAAAAAATCTCTCAGTGATTTTTCTATGCTGGATGACCCAGACTTTAATTTTCTCCTTTGGTTCCTGTCTTCCAAAGCATAACAAAACTCTGCAATTTAGTTTAAAGCCATAGAGTAAGGAGAATGGGTTGCAGAAACTGCCTTAAAAATGTATGTAGTTCACTTCAGAGGAATACCTATACATTGGGATGTTTATTTGAACAGAAGCTGACCTCAAGGCATACAGAGACATTCTTGTCACTCCTTTATAATGGCAAGTATAATAATCAAAAAGAAAAGTGAATCAGAGGCATAAGGGAGTGATGGCAATGAATACAAGAAGTAGAAATATGTGCCAGAACCA